GCCTAGATAGAAAGGCTTGGCATGAAAAGGTTGCTCACCAGTTAATAAATTGGTCACAGCAAGTATGAATACAGTAAAAATGGGGCATAGTTGTGATCTACATGAGGAGAGGTAGGACCCATGCCAATGAATTTAGTAATCTGAGTGCCTATTTTGAAAGACAAATGGGATAACAATCATTTAAGCCAGTGGTTCCCAATCTTGGGTAATCCAGGTGTTTGTAGACTGCAATTCTTAGCAGCCTTCACCACCAGCTGTGCTCTCTACGGTTACTGGGAGTTGTAGTGCAAGAATACCTGGATTACCCAAGGTTGGGAACCATTGATTTAAGCAAACAACCACATATATGAAAAATCAGTGGGTAGTAAGCATAGACCATGGCATCTTATCACTATAAGACACTAAAGCCCTTCTGAGCAGTCAGTACAGAATATGACAACAGTGACTGATCTCAGGAGAATACATGTGAATGTGAATGCATAAATTTATGTTCAGTGTGGTTGTAAGAATGCTGTAAGACTAAACAGTTTTTGAGTCCATTTGTCATTACTGGTCAGTCTGGCTTTCCATTCTCCCAATTTTTTATCAGCAAGTGTTTGTTTCTTAAAATATAGTATTGATTTAACAACTTTTTAACTGACAGGAAGATTGCATCATCATCATCATCATCATCAGAAGAAGAAGAAGAATGTATTGTCAAGTCAATTTTGACTTATGGTGACCTTTTCCAGGAGTTTCTAGGTGGAGAACACTCAGAAATGGTTTACCATTTCCTTCTTCTGGGGGCACCCTGGGACTGTGTAGCTTGTCCAAGGCTGCACAAGATGGCTCTATTTGCAAGAAGCACAGTATTGAACTCTTAACCTCTAAAATTCAGAGGTTTAAATCACTAAGCTATCCAGCCATCACAGCAAAATAACTAGGCAAAAAACTGGCAGTCCTGAAAATCTCCTAGGCCAATGAAGGCGGAATTCATCTTAACTAACACTGAGACATCTTTCAGATATGGAAGAAAGCAGAAAAGAATGCAAAAAGCAGACAATAAAATGGCAAGAGCTGTGGTTTATGCATATAGTGGTTGACCAGAAAGTGCTATTACAGAAACAATATGCAGCTCTATTTATTCCTGTATTGTTACCTTTGACAGTTTTAAAGAAACAGTTTCCTTGGCTGATACCCCAGATAGATTAGTGGATCAGTGAAGGCATTCTAGAATTGGAGGATAAGGTTATCAGTGACTACTAGTCTTGATGGCTAAGTATGAAATCCAGCATATAGAGGCAGTATGCTCAATACCAGTTGCTAGGAAACATGAAATGAGAGGATAGTATTACACTCATGTTCTGCTTCTGGGTTTCCCATAGTATCTTGTTGGCCACTTGAAACAGAATCCCTAAGAAGTAGCCTTTGTGTCTGATGCAACATGGCTCTTATGCTCTTATTGCATTATAAACCAAGAGCCCCAAACCAACTACCAGCAAGTGGAAAAGTAATATGAAACTGATTCATGCCTCTTTCTTTCACTGAGCATGCTGTGCACTCTGTTCAATAGCTTATCAGCATATTCTCTATACCTTATTCAAAGGTTTTATTATCAAACAAGAGCACCATTGACGTTCCCATTTGTATGTTTTGCTTTAGTTCAGAACTGTTGTTGACCAAAGTAAAACCTTTGAGTAAACTATTCTATTCAACATTCTGTTTGTTAATGATACAATAGTTTGTTTGTTAATGATACAATAGTTTCTATTAAAACTGCAAGGGGGAAATTTGGTATACACCTTTAATACAATTTTACGTCTCACATTCAAATATCACCTCCATTTCTTGTCCTATTTTCAAAGGTATGCAGGAACAAACGAAATATACTATAATACAGTATCTCCCTTGAGGCTCACATGTGACAATTGATGAAATTTTGTTGCTTAGCATCGATACAATAGTTTCCATTAAAACTGCAAGGGGGAAATTTGGTATACACCTTTAATACAATTTTACGTCTCACATTCAAATATCACCTCCATTTCTTGTCCTATTTTCAAAGGTATGCAGGAACAAACGAAATATACTATAATACAGTATCTCCCTTGAGGCTCACATGTGACAATTGATGAAATTTTGTTGCTTAGCATAGCAAGTTGCTGTATGGTAGGGCCATTGAATAAGTGGGGATTTGGTGATTCAACTCCTCTGTAAAATTAATTGATTCAAATGGGCCTCTTCTAGTGCGACTTACTACAGTAAGTAACAGGATTTCAGCCAATGAAATCCTAGTTTCTCACCTTCTCATGCTTTATGTTTAAGATGAGAACCCTGCTTGTCTCTGTCCACTTCACTATGATCTGCCTAATGATGATGGGCATTTAGTAGATTTTTTGAAACTTAGTTCTTCATTAGATGTTACAACACTATTTCAGTTTCCATGTGGTGGGAGATGGAAAAAATCACAGAGTTCGAAGAGGCCTATAAAGTCACTGAGATCAATTCCCCTGCCCAGAGCAGGAATCCAAATCAAAGTAGATGTGACAAACGGCTGTCCTATTTTCTCCAAAACTGCAGTGCTCTCCACCTCCTGTGGTAATTGGTTCCATTGTTGTACTGCTCTAATAGGGCATTTTTCCAAACATTGAGCCAAAATGTGGCTTCCTGTAATTTGAGCCCATTATTTCATGTCCTGCACTCTGGGATGATTAAGAACAGATCCTGCCTCTCTTCTGTAGGACAGTCTTTCAAATATTTGAAAAATGCCATCATATCTCCATTCACTCTTCTCTTCTCAAGGCAACACATGCTCAGTTTGTCCAGTCTTTCCTCAGAGGACTTGGTTTCTAGCCTCCTAATCACCCTGATTGTCCTCCTCTGAATTTGTTCCAGTTTGGTGGTATCCTTCTTAAACTGTGGTGTCCGGAGCTGGGCATTGTACTCAAGATGATGCCTCACCAATGCTAAATAGAGAGGGTCTACTACTTCACGGGATTTGGAGACTATACTTCTGTTAAATGTAGTCTCAAATAGCATTGACCTTTTTTGCAGCTACATTGCACTGTTGGCTCATATTCAGCCTGTGATCTATAACAGTATTCAAACCAATCAAGATCTTCTTGAATTTTTTTCTGTCTTCCAAGATATTAGCTATTCCAGTTTTCATTTTGGGTTTTCCCCCTGGTGTAGAACGTTACACTTATCCCTGTAAGATTTTATTTTTTTAAAGCCCAGTATTCAGACCAAACAAGATCTTCTTGAATTTTGTTTCTGTCTTCCAAGGTATTAGCTATTCCACCCAGCTATCATCCTCAAATTTGGTAATTCCCTGAACTCCCTCATCTGTCATTAATAAAGCTGTTCAAGTGTACCAGGCCCAGGACCTGTGGTAGCCCGCTTGTTACCTCCACCCAGTTTGAGATTCTGTGGTATCCCGCTTGTTACCTCCACCCAGTTTGAGATGAAGGCATTGATAAGCACTCTGAGTGAGATTCTATAACCAACTGTGTACATCTACAGCATTCCCACAGTTTACCAGGGAGGTTACATAATCAGAACATGAGATAAGATTAGTCTGGCAGGATTTGTTCTTGACAAATCCATGTTGGCTTCCAGCTATCACTGCATTGTTTTCAAGGTACTGTACTTAAAATATATACACATACTTAGTACATGTCTCAATGTATCAAATATTAGCCAAAGGTTTGTTTGCCATTACCAAAGGTGAAATACTGGAATAATTATGTACTTATCTGCTGTCATTTCCTTCCCAACTAACCACAAAAAACCTTCAAAGTTACAGCTTATAATTCTTATTAACATATGTCGTTTCTGTTGTTCCCTTTAGCCACTAATCTCTGTTGCTGTTTACAGAACAAAGCTTTTTAAAAAAAATTGAATATCAACCATGGGTCCTAAATCATTACTAGGTGTGAAATGTAATTTGAATTTACCAACCACTACATCCATTTATCCTTACAACCCAGCAGTTCGAAAGAATGCAAATGCACATAAATAGGTTCCGCCTTGGTGGGAAGGTAACGGCGTTCCATGTCTAGTCGCGCTGGCCATGTGACCATGGAAACTGTCTACGTACGAACACTAGCTCTATGGGTGGGAAACTGGGATGAGCACCGCGTCCTAGAGTCGGACACGACTGGACTAAATGTCAAGGGGAACCTTTACCTTAACCTCCATTTATCTTAGAGCCCTGTATGAATATATTGCCATGTAGTTCTGCACACTTCCACGAAAGCTCCCATTTAAAAACAGCAGTTAGTTTTTAAGGTGCCATAAGCTCTTTGTGCTTTTTTTATTTTATTTATTTATTTATTTTATGAATATGTTGCCATGTAGTTCTGGACACTTCCAGGAAAGCTCCAATTTAAAAATAGCAGTTAGTTTTTAAGGTGGCACAAGCTCTTTGTGCTCTTTTAATTTTATTTATTTATTTTTGCTTTTGCTTTGTATTATGTTCCTTGTTGATACCCAGAAACAAGTGTTGGAAGCAGAAGCATGTAAAAAGGTCACTCTTTAGGTAGGACGTTGCCATGTAGTTCTGGACACTTCCAGGAAAGCTCCAATTTAAAAATAGCAGTTAGTTTTTAAGGTGGCACAAGCTCTTTGTGCTCTTTTAATTTTATTTATTTATTTTTGCTTTTGCTTTGTATTATGTTCCTTGTTGATACCCAGAAACAAGTGTTGGAAGCAGAAGCATGTAAAAAGGTCACTCTTTAGGTAGGACAGTATGGTTACAAACCAGCATGAATTTGTATGAGCGGTGCCATCCTAAGCAAACCAACACCTCTTATAATCAGGCAGTCTTACTCCCGAGTAAACACATTGGAGACTGCCGCCCCGGCGAGGACAGTTGTGCTTTTTGTTTGTCCTAGGCCCCCTTCTCGTTACTTTTTCCTTGCTCTTCCCAAGCAAGCTGGCTCCCACAACGTCCAGTTCAAGCCTTTCTCGTTTTTTCTTAGAACAATCTGTTCAGGTGGGTTAGTAGGGCAGAGATGTTACTACGTCTTTAAGCTTTTTCTAAGGAAGTAGGCGTGTCAAGTCTGCCTCAGGGTCTCGGCAGAATTAAAGGGGGAAAGAGAGAACACGAAATAAAGTGAAACACTATTTTACTTCTCTCCGCACCCACCCACCCCTTAAATTCCGCTAAAATCTGTACTCTTCATGTCTGAGCGGGAACTCGAGCAAGGGCCTCCGGCGCTTTACAAGACCCAGCACGGGCTCCCCTCTGTTTCTTTGCCCCCCTACTGCCGCTCTAAACCCGTGTTGCGCCTCCAGAGAGGGCCCTGCCTATGACGGGAGCCGGGAATGGAAGCAAGGGGCAGGAACCCCGGCGAGAAAGCCCAGTCGGCGAAGGAAAGGCGTGTGGGCGGGAACCAGCACACGAGAGGCGGCGACCGGCGACGAGCCGCAGGCGAACGGCCGGGGCGGCAAGGCCTGCCCCGCGTCTCCCCACCCTAATGGGCGGCCGCGCCGGCAACGGCGTCTCACGTAGACTTCTCAAGATGGCGGCCTCTCCTGAGCGACCTGCCGAGGCGGTGGCGGCTGTTGCGGGGCTAGCGGGGCTGAGGGACCGCTGAGGAGGTTGACAGCCGGCTGTCGCGGTTTCCTTTGCGGTGGGAGGGGGGAAAAAAGAGAGAGAGAACAGAAGCAGACGTTGAGGGCTGCGACTGGGAAGGAGGGAACACATCATGCGGCGGGGCTAGAGCCGGAGGCTTCAACTGCGAGTAATAATGTTAGCTGAGGTAAGAGGCGGGCAGCGGAAAGGGAAAGAAACGGGGTTCGGGGTGGGGTGGCTTTGCGGGGATGGTTTGTCCGTCGGTGAAGACCCTCCCCCCGGCGTTCCTGTCTGTTTCCCGACGACTTTTCTGTGCCCGTGTCTCGCTTGGCCGCCTTAGAGGCTCCTTGGGCCCCTTTGCCCTGGTCTCAGCCGAGGCTGTGGGCGCAGAGTCGCCCTAGCTGGGAGGCTGGCGGTTGGCCTCCTCCGGCTAGTTTTACCTTGGAGGTGTGTGTCTGTGGTGTTGTTATCACTTCAGGGGCGGCGGGTCCTTTCTGTGCTGAGACCAACCAACTAACTGACTGACCCCGGGTTTCTGCAGCTTGCGTGGAGGCGTCACTATGATTAGCCTAAATGCTTGCTCCAAAATTACTGCTCTCCACTAGGCCTCCTTTGGCCGGGAGTTTCTTCGGAAATGCAGATCCTGCTTTTTTTGGGGGGGAGACTCCTTCTCATTGGGAAGGCGTGGGTTCTCCTCCACACACCCCTTTTAATTGCGTGTTGAAGCAGCTTTGTTTCGCGAGTTGAGCAGGGAACAGGCACTCCTGGTTCCAGCTGGCAATGCTTCATTGTATGCCATTCAGCACTTTCATTATCATGCCTCAGTTTCGCTCTTAGGATTGTGTCGCTTCTCTTGGAAAAGCAGGGTTGAGTGAGTTGATGTTCTGTTTTGCAGCTTTGGCAGGCTGAAAGGACAGCTCAGAAACAACCCCACATTATTTGTGCCTTGGGATTTATGACTGACACCCCCAGTTGAGAGCAGCCCTGGCATTCTATTTTCTCAGACCTCTGGTACTTTCTCAGCCAGTCTGCATTACTTTGATTTCATACTATTTGTGTGCTGAATTTTTAGTTTTGGGTCTGCGCCCGCAATATGCTCTTGGTGTACAAATTGATTGCTCTGTCCTTGTCCTAGAGAAAGGCATGAACACTATGTGGCTGTTAGCAAAAGTGTTTGCAAGCTTTTATGTTGCACATACTGTAAGTGGTAACGAGACAGTTAACTCTTTGCAGCTGCATGTTTTGGGTTGCTGAAAGGGACCAATTATTGCATCCTTAATGGGTTCTAGGTATTATTGTTTAATATGTTTAATGCCTTGTGATTAGACTGTTGGCTTCTGCAGTCATTCACTAGTGCTTTGATTCTAAATGCTAGATCTGGATCATAATGTTAGTACAAAACAATGTATGCCATTGGACTGTTGGACTACCTGCTCTGAACATCAGCAGCTCTGTCTCAGGCAGTGGGACTCTGTCAGCCCTATTATCTGAAGTTCTTCTAACTTAAGATTCTGGTGAGCTAGTAATTCTTTTTCAAAAGGAGGTGATAGACAGTACTGTTGCTTTGTGTAAACTTGTGTAAATAAGAACTGCTTTGTAAGTTACCATCTTGAAACTTGCATGTTGTAGCACTAATGTATGAGTCTGGAATGACATCAAGCAAATTATGTTGTTAGTTCCTGCGAACACAGGGAGTTCTGTGTAATTTGGAGGCAGAACTAATACAAATGAATTATTCTTTGAAGCAGTGAAAAAAGGCTTTCTCAATTATTAATAATAGTTTTATATAACATTTTATAGTTCTCACAGTGCTTCATGCATAGCAGCTTACAAAAGTTTCTATAAGGGGAGTTCATTACTATTATCTCCACATTGCATATGCATTCAAGTTGATATATAATGGCTTTAACACTGTACCTACTGACACAAGCTAGTTTGTAATCTGTTATAAGTTTGTTACATTGATATCCTGTTTTCCTTCATTAAGCTGGAGGTGTGCATGGCTCCTGTCTGCCCTGTATTTTAGCTTTAACTTTGTGAAATGTGTCAAGCAGAAAAACTAAAGTGTGAGTTCTACTAAGGATGTGTAGATGGTCCCCAACCTCCTCTGTGCCTGAATGAAGGCTGTACAGATAGAGGCTGTTCTGGCCTGTTTCTGGTGACACTCCAAACTGGGTCCTTGTCAAGTTCCATAAGAATATTTATTTAAAATATTTTACCCTATCTTTCTGAAGAAGAACCCAATGTAGCTTACATTATTACAAGACAATGTTTAAAGCTAAAAACAGTAAGTATACAAATACTAAAAAAGAATCAAACAAAACAAAAAGACATTCAAAGCAGTAAGGCACCACCATCCATTTTAAAATCCCATTCAGGCAGCTAGTTATTAAGGGAAAGCTTGCCTGAAGAGTAAGGTGAACACCTGCTTGCAAAAGAAGACCAAAAATGGGGACCGCCTGGTCTCCTGTGGGAGAGGGTGCAGAAGTCTGGGAGCAGCAACAAAGAAGGCCCTCTCATGTCTCCACCAAACACAACTGTGAGGGTGGTTGGACCAAGAGAAAAGCCTCTCCTGAGGATCTTAACAGCTGGGCAGGCTCATAAAAGGAGGCACAGTCTTTGGGGTAGCTTGGATTCAAGCTGCTTAGAGCTTTATTGATTGGAATCAGCACCTTGAATTGTGCCTGGAAATGAATTAATAGCCTGTGGAGCTGCTGTAATTGGGGTGGTGGTGGTGGTTATATGATTCCTGTGACCATTCCCAGAGTACTTTTCCCCCCAGTTCTGCGGGATGGCTCAATTCTTTTGAATGGGGAAATGCTACTAGAAAGGCCAGAAGATAGATTGAATGGTATGGACAGGACAGGAGCAACACTGGATATCTGTATGGCTGGATTCTCTGTCTCATTTTTATTTTATCCCTCTTCTCCAGCTACCAAGAGAAAGTTTCCATTCCCTAAGGAAAGGGAGTGAATGGGGGGTCTTTAAAAGAACAATGCAGGGAACCTGTTCTTCCACACTTCCTGCCCTTTCTCTCTGCCCCTACCCTTCCATTTCCTTGGATTTGAAATTAGTGATGCTGCAACTACAAGACTCTGATCATTTAATCAATAACTTTGCAGCAGAGAAGGCAAGGAAGATTAATTCCTAAAATAAAGAATATACTCTCCTTTGTCTTCCTGAACTTTTATTTCTCTTTTGCCATTTCTAATTGCAGTGGGCTAATGCTGAGTTTAATGTGAGGGGTATGTGTGGATATTATTTCACCGGTGGGTGACTTTAGTTTTTTTTTTTTTTTTGCTTTCCCTGTCATTACCCAGGAAATGCAGAAATACTCCTGATTTGATTTGTCTGAAGATCGTGCAAATGCCTACATTCTTCCTGTTACGTTATGATGATAATGCACTATTCACTTTTTTCTGTCAGGAAGTAAAGACTCTTCTACTGTACCATAAAAGTTTATTGAGTATTGTTTTTAGAAGGTTTCTCTGCTTGAAGAGCTACGTATTCTTTTTAGAGATACAAAGTATCTGTTATTAAAAGATATGATGAAATCAAAATGTTCTTTTGTTATCTCTTTGGTCCTGTTCAGATAAGTACATTCCAGAATAAAAGGTGCAGAGTGGTACTGGTGGATTTCAACCAGCGTTCAGCTTGGAGACAGCTTGGATGCCTTGCACAGCAAACATTAAGCTAATGTTTGTATGCCAGTGTCTGTATAAAATTAGAGGAGTTTATAAGCATCAGTGACATATACATTCTGCATTAGCATTGTAATTTACTAAGTATAGGTAGTTTTTCCTTAGTAGTAGAGTATTTAGATTATAGGATTCGGCTTATGGTCTCTCACAGTGCCATTCTGTAAATGTTTAGCTGTAAGTATGTCGTGAGGTGTTAAGTAGGTCTGCTGTGTTACCATTTTAGCTTAATTTATTAGTTACTTTTACAAAAATAGGTAATAATAAATCAGTAAATTAAGCAGTTTCAAATAGCACAGCATCAACAGGTCATCATGAATATTAAAATTAAATAAGACTGTCAAATATAAAAGCAAAAATTAAAATTAATACAGCAAATGGAATCCCCACTACATAATCTGGTCTTGCTGCAATGCTAGCCACATCAGCTTAGTTTCAATACACTTGAGATTTTGCAGCTAGCTCACCTCCTTAGATGGTTTGCATTTCACTCCCTTATCTGTCCTACAAGGATATAGTGGCAGTAGAAAAGGAGTAATGCTGAGGAATGACAGCAATGATAAGTTCCACAACTAGTGTTTTTTAAGCACCACAGCTATATAGTTCTAAAATGTCTCCTCAGCAGATGTGGTAACTGAATCTGAGATTCCTTATAACTTGTAAATGCAACAGCAGAGGTGCAGTTCTTATATGAAAAGTTGTGTTAATAATGCCTGCTTTATTGTCTCTTAAATGTATGGTGAGCCATCAGTGAGGCATTAATACATTGAGTTATAAAAATATTCATGTATCACAAGTTTTCTGTTGGCTTTATGTTGCAGTAGCGGTCACTTTTTTGTAAAACAACAACAACCTGTATATAAATAAAAATACTTTTTGCCCATATACTGTAGCTTTATTTTAAAGCAAACCAAAATAAATAAACCACAGAGTGTAATCCTAGTGAAATTTCTGCTTTTCCTAACTGTGCTGAATGACAAATCAAGAACACTTAAGCAACGTCTGGGAGATGCAAAAATCAAAATTGATGTAGCAAAAATGCCTGCTTTGCAAAACTTGCTGTACTAGATAGGAGGGTATGAAAACTTAGGACACCAGAGCATAGTTGATAATCCTAAAATACCAAGATTCTGCACTAGAAGGAGAGAATTGTGCTATTAAATTACATTGTGCCTATCTAAATCTGAACAAGTTTTGTTCATTAAACTCCTATCTTAAGAATTTGATTTTTTTAACATAATTACGAAGTTTGTTGTGGGTTTCCCGGGCTATTTGACCGTGTTCTTAAGGTTTTTCTTCCTTACATTTTGCCAGTCTCTGTGGCCGGCATCTTCAGAGGACAGGAGTCAGAACTCTGTCTGTGCTCTGTTGCAATTTGTTGGATAGTTGAGCATTTGTAGCTGTGGGAACAGCCTTTGTCATTTTCAGGAGATTGGGTGATTATGATGATCAGCGTGTTTTTATTGTGGGTGTATTGTGTTAAGGGGGA